CAACGGAGCACAGCTGGCAGGCGATATTCGCCGCGCGAAAGCGCAGGTTCCCGGTCAGGGGATCCCGCTCCTGCGCGCGCCGGGCGCCGAGCTCGGTGTACTCGATCACCCGCCATTCCCGATTCACCCGGGCGAAAACCCCCACCCGCTCCGCCGGGTCGGCCTTCCAACTCGTCTTGACCACCACATGCGCCGCCGTCTCGATGGCGAAGCCGTAAAACAGGGGATCCGCGACCTTCGCGAGGAGGTTGTCGATGTTGAAGAGCTGGACATACCGCACCCCCAGGCGGCGAAGACGATCCAGGACGCTCGCGGCGGGCCCTTCGCCTCGCCCCAGCGGCGCGCGGGAAAGGCTCGAGTACACGCCCCCATTGCCGCCCGGCGAGAGGCAGATCTCGTGCGGGGAGGCCATCAAAATTTTACCGCTCGCCTCATCAAAGCAGGGGAGCATGGGCTGGGCAAAAAAGACGACCTGCGGCTCCGTCAGCCCAAACCAGTCGTTCGCGAGGAAAAAGCGCTGCGTCGCGGCGGCGTTCTCGTCGGACACCATAATTAAAAGCGGAATGCAAGACCCGCCGGGGGCCGCCGCCGCGCTCAGCGCCTGCACGCGGCGGATCTTCTCGCAGTGAAATTGAAAAAGCGACTTCGCCTCGCGGAGGGATTCGTTCACGAAGAGGCCTTTCGGGGTTGAGATCCCAAGCCGCGTGCCGCTCCCGCCGGACAGCAGCAGCACCGCGGCCTCCCCCCGCGCGATCGCCGCGAGGCCCAGGCGGCGTAGACGACTGATTTCCCCCGGATCCGCCGATTGCACCGCGTCGACGGAGAAGATACGCGATTCCGGGGGAGGCTCCACGTCGTCGGCCATATCTCCCCCGTCATCCCCCAGGGCCTTTAGGCTCTCGCGTAAAATGCCGTTTAAATGGGAAAAGTTGATCCCCGAATGGGCAATCTGGTGGCTGAGAATAGACTGCGCTTCCGGCGTGAGGGTATCATAGGCGTCGAGGAGGTGCTCCTGCCCAGAACCTTTGAGCACTTGTAATAATTGTGATTTATCCATCCTTTGCTTAAGCGGACGGCGTTATTTAGGGGGTGATCTTCTTTTTTTTCCTTCTTCTTCCTTTACTATTCACTCCCTTTATGATAGCTATAAGTTGGATGGATTAAGATATAGTTTTGTGTGTGGGGGGGGGAGGGGGCAAAGCATCGGAAAAGCAACGCGAAAGCATTTGTAAAAGGGAAATTGACGAGTATCTTAACTATAATTTTTAATACTATAGTTGCGTGTGTGTGACTTTCCAAGGCTGATAAAATGGAAGCGAATCCCAAATCAAGGGTGTGCATCTACGCCCTCTCGCTCCTCTTCCTTGCCCTTCTTTCTCGTTTATCAGACTAACCGCAGAACCCAATCGTTAAGCCTCACGGAGCTCACTTCGTGACGGGCGGTGCCATCCATCGCGTGTAATCCTCCACTCGCGCATCCGTGGTAAACCCGCTTTCATCCAACATACGGCCCTCAAACGGGCGAAATTCACCCAGCCGACGGAGGATTCCTTTCACCCCTTCCTCCTCTTCCGCCCCCTCGGCAGGCCGCGTTAGACAGCGCTTGAGCTCGGCGCGAACGAAATTATCCAGCAGCGTGGCGGCCACGTTGACCTTTTGTTTATTCACGCGTCGGAGCTCCTGCTTGTGGAACTCCAAAGCCATCCGGTGGAGCATACTCCCTAGCTGGTGGATGAGCCTCTGCATTTCCTGACTTTTTCCCTCTTCTTCCCCCGTCCTGGGGGAGAGAGAGGGGAGGACGACGTAAAGCAAACAAGCCACGTGAGGGTCCTTTGTAATCTGCACAATAAAGTGTGGTAGGGTGGGGATATAACTTGGCAGGGTATGGACCCCCTCCACAGGCCGCGTCAGACTCGTCATCTCGGCCTCCTCGAACCCGACGCGAAAGAGGTCGTTCGTGGCCGTGTCGTAGAGCCTAAGGGCCTCCATGCCGCGGCGCTGGAGGCGATCCCGGACCTCCGCCCGTACCGCGTTCGGGTTTAAATAGCTCCAATCCGAAAAAGAAAGGTACTCCGCCGGGGACTCCCCATCCCCTCGCAGGAGCCTCTGAAAGCCAAGTATATCCTCGCGATGGTAGCGCTGTTGAAGGCGGCGAAGGTCGGCTGCCCGCCCATCTAACGCGCTTGCGAGGATGTACGGGATGTGGGCGAGGTTCAGATGGCGACGCCGCTCCACGATGAGGCTCGCCAGGGAAAGGACGTCCCCCTCACGATCCCATCGCGACCCTCCCCCTCCTCCTCCACGGGGTTTCGGCGAGGATGCTGAAGCCCCTCGTCCACCCCCCGCCCGGATTCCCTCCTCCTCCGCCTCCGCGTAGGGTCGGGTTAAAAACGCGTGCGCGTTGGGGTACTTCACGAAGGGGTTCTCCGACACCATAAGATTCAGCTCACCGAATACCAAAATCGTCAGCAATGGAAGGTTCTCCTCGCATTTCCAGAGGAACTCGATCGGAGGGTAGCGCGTTGGCGCGCAAAACGAGAAAAGCCTTTCCTCGTGGCCTTGTTCAGCGCCTTCTGCATCGCCGTCTTTCCGGTTTCGAAGAAAGGCGCTCTGGATGGACGCGCGGACTTCCTTATCCTCCTTTGGTGGTGGGTTCGAAAAGAGAAGCTCGGATGCGTTCGGCTCACGGCAGCAGCGTAGCACAACGTGTCCTTCCACCGCATTATCCACGTAATATCGCTTAACAAGATAGAGAAAGTAAAAATAATCCTCCTCGGTAGGGGTGCGGGCGGGGGGTGAAGAAGGATGATTCCCCGCCCTGGTGTCCGTGCTTTCACTTCCCGCGAGGACGGTCTTCTCGACGGCATCAAAAATGTAGTCGAAGCTGGGGGGGTATCCCCCACGCCGCTCCTGGAGGATCGCGCGGTAGAGCAGCGCCTTATCCCAAACCGCCATCGTGTCAAACGCGCGGTCGAGCAGGATGGTTTTAAAAAGCTCCACAAGGTGAAAGCGGCTGGCGCGCGAGAGGTGGATCGTGGGAAAGTGGGGCTGTCGCTCAAAGAGGTCCAGCATGCCCTGCGCCTTGGCGACGGCATCGAGCTCGCGCTGGGCTTCCCGCCGTTTGGCCTCGCCGACGCGGCGGCGGAGGGAGTGCGGGGGGCGTGAAAAATGCGCGAGATCCTCCCCTCTCTCTTCTTCTTCCCCTTCCCTACAATACCGCTGTGAGCCTGAAGATGCCAATGTTGAGGATCCGGGCGAACCCCCCCTTGGCCCCACGTTAAGTCTCGTTTCCTCCTTCTTCCGCGCGTCGTAGTGGAGAAGTTTGGACTGGTAGGCGCGGTAGAGCCAGTCGAGGTAGTCGGAGGAGTAGCCCACCCGCATTGGGCCGGGGTTCGTAATCATGCGCGTGAACTCCTCCACATTACGCGCCCGGTGAGCCTCTTCAAGGCTCTCTGAGAAGTCGTGAATGGGATTAAACTGCCCTCGTGAGGTGATGGTGCGGATGTAAGGGAAAACCGCGGATACTGGCACACGACGGAGCATCGTCCTTTAGATAGAAGACACCTCGGGTGTGAAATTGCGATAAATGTCACAACCACCACCACCACAATAATAGTAATTGTAACAGTAGCAATTATCACGGTAACAATTCTAACAGTAGTAATTGCCACACTACGTCCTAAACTAAGAGGAAAAGACTAAGAAAGGGGATCGGTAGCGTTGTCTATTCTATTTGAGTTCTTCTGTTCCCCTTTGGTCTCTAATGGTTAAATGGGAAAATAAAGAGAGGGGTACGAACGAGAGAGAAAAGAAGCAGATAACTTTAAGACCGACACACACGTCCACGCATGGAACAGACCCCTACGCCATTCTAAAGGCTCGAAATGGTGGAAAAAATTGTTTCTCTAAGATTGAAAACCATCTTTAGCAACAGAAAGTGGTGTACATGAATCTCGGGTTTTTTATACATTAATCACCAGAGGATAGATCCTTTGAAGATCTCAGACTCCTACCAAACGACCCCGCTTATTAATCACTGGTAGGGACAAGTACAGAAAAATAATAATGAGTTAGATGCAGACTACGTCTAGATTCTGTTCATCCAATGTTACCTTCCTTTTCTCCTCTTCATTCCTATCATTTTGTATTAGATCATAAAGGCGACGTTGTGGTTGATCGTTCCGTCGCCGATGTAGATGTTGCCGTACTTTGCGGTCTCCGGAACGTGGAAAAATATAGAGCCGGGAAATTGGGCATTTCGCCCCACAACAAGATTGTAAAGCGGATCGTACTGCAATCGCCATAGATCCGCCGGAATGTCTTCGGCAATGTTAGAAAAAACTGCATCAATGCTTGCATTTTCAAATATCTCCTCTAATGGCGCCTTGCCGAGCTGCATGTTGAGGAGCCGCCGGTAAGGGTTCGAGGCGCGGATGTGGTAGTAGTTTTTCAACGCCAAGGCCCCTTCTAACGTCCGAGGGAGCCCTTCAAAGGCGGAGTTCAGTTTAATCTCCGGGTGGAGTCCCTCCTGGCGTTCACTCTGGAAGAACGCCCCGCGTGGGGCGACGCGGCAGTTGTAGTCATGCTCCTCCACAAAGAGCGCGACCCGCAGCGATTCTTTATAGCTTCGCGAGACCCCCTTCGACCCGCGATCCGAGGAGGAGGACCCCCCCACTTCATGGGGTGAGGTCACGCGGTATTCATACGCGGGATCCCCCATAAACGTCCCGCGGATCTCGCGCAGTAGGTGGTATTTAAACTCCTCCTGCTCCATCGGGGTGGAGCCGATGTGGGAGACCCCACTCAACAGCGACGAGGTCGTCCCGATCAAGGTGAAGGTCAAGCCCTCATCAATGCTGTAGAAGAGCTCGGGCTCGGCGATGAGGTCGTCATCAAAGGCCTGGGCGAGGATGTAGTTCGCCTTCAGCCCAAAGACTTTTCCCCAGATCCGCACGCGGCGGCGCTTGGTTTGGGTGGTCAACAACGGCAGTGAGGTCGACAGCGCGACACGCTCGTTAAGTGAGAATAAATACCCCGTCGGGTGCGTGTAGGAGAAAACCTCGGACATTGATCAATCGCGTGATTCTTATTTTTTTTTGTCTGTGTAAGGGGGATAGGTGAAAAATCGATATTGAGGGCTAAATATTAATAAATGGGTTCCACTACACGCGTGTATCGGGGTGGAGGGGAAGATGAGTGAGCGCGGCTGAATTACAATTGTGTATCTAAGATTTGGTGCTACCCAATGGTCGTAAATCTATACTATTCGAAATACCCTCAAAGGTCTAAAAGAACATGATCCATTCAAAACCACATTAAAAATATAACGGAAGGAATAAAGGAATGAAACAGAAATTCTCAAATGTCAGGAAAAAGAAAAAGAAGTTCGCATCTATATACTCTACGCGATCACAGATGAGTAGTAAGAATATCTACTCCCACCATTAGTTCAGCAAAGCTTAAGTATTGGTATTTCGCAATAAACTAACAGGAATTTGATGAAGAAAAAAATCAATCGTAATCTACAGGTATTGAACTTGGGTTCAACCAATCAGCAGAAAGAAAAAATGCATAAAAACGACCGCATTATATTTTGTGATATCTCAAACAAGTCAACCCCCGAAGAAGAGACTGATGACAACAAAAATTATAGTTTTAAATTACAGGATGGAGATACCATTTTTTGCATTTTGAAAAAACGCTTTAGTGAATCAAAAATGGAATACATCCATCCCTTTGAAATAAATAAAAAGGGAAGCAAAATGCGTGCGCGTGGGCAACTTTCTATATCTGGCTGGAATTGAAAGCAAAAATACGTAGATAATAGAATTACGATTAAGTAGAAATCCAATCTCGGATCCCTTTTCTCGAAATAACAAAACACGCCTCGCCGTAGGGCTGCGTTGGGGACTTCAGTAGACGTGCCACCCGATGCTGAACAGACGCCGGCAACGTTCCTCCCCCTTCTCGTGGTCTACACGAGGAATAGTCTAATATCTTGTTCTCCGGGCAAAGTTTGAAACGGATCGACGATGACAACCTAGACGAAAAAGGATCCTTTACTTCGTGCTCTCCGTTTTTTTTCACCCCCTCAACATCCCCACAAGCGCCCGGGAAGGGTAAGTTGTAGTGATGATGGCTAAGGAGAATTCTGGTCGTTGGTTGGCAGCCCCAGGCATCTCCCAGGGAAGGAATTAAAATGCTCTGAAAAGCATTGCCGGTACCACTTCCCTCAAAAAATGTTGTTTTTTTCACTTTTATGGATCGACTTGTGAGGTGGTTACTCACAACCACGGCGAGGTTGTAGCGCGCGGCATACAGCTGCAGTCTCTCCCCACAGGTAAAAAGCAAACGAGCCCGCTGCCAGGGCGGGAGTCCGGTCCCATCCTCGTAATCCACACTACGATTGTACGGAATTACACCCGAAGTACTCTTCTCTTCTTCTTCCTCCAGAGACATTAACTCTGCTCCGCGAAACGGTGACGCAATCGAATCAATGACAATCATCGAAATTTTATCATCCTGCACCCACTTCGGGAGGGAATAAATAACTGCCATGAAGGTGGTGGCGTCGATGACGCGGAGGTAGTACACACTATCAAACACCTGAGAGAGCGTTAATTCTTCACCCACCGCACGCAATTGGCGGGCTTCATCAGAAAGCGCGCTCGCTGAAGTTCTCTGCAAGGGAGGCTTTGGTTGCCCTTCCGGAAAAGAAACACCAGCCGCGTGGGCGTTAGAGATGAAAGTGGTCTCATTTCGTTGAAGAAATCCCTTTTCCGCATCGGAGGAAGTTGCGGGATGGATTGGAGGGGTTCCGCTCCTGCTCCTCCTCCCCGTTTTTTCCCTCCTCACCCTCCCTTCCCCAGTCTCTACCTCCTCCGTGGGGCGTTCACGTCGGCGCCGTCCGCTAACCTCGTCCCTCTCCGCCTTCCCCTGGTTGAGGACGCCACGCCGGACCGCCGCCACCGCCGCCAGTGCGACCTCGCCGAGGCGATCCCGCACGAAGCTGCCCTCGGTATCGATCCACAAACAACGCCCGCCCAGCCCCCCCACCGCCGCCGGCAGCGCGCAGCCCACGGCGAGCTGAAGGAGCAGCTGCGTTTTGCCCGCCCCGGGCGCCCCGCTGAGCTCCGTCAGCGACCCCACCGCGACCCCACCCCCGAGCAGGGCGTCCAGCCGCGCGCTGAAAGTCGTCACATGAGGCAGAGCCCCCCCTCCCCCTCCTTCTCCCCTGTTACTGTGTCCTTCTTCTCCCCTGTCTCTGTGTTCTTCTTCCCCTCTATTACTGTGTCCTTCTCCCCTGTTACTGTGTCCTTCTCCCCTGTTACTGTGTCCTCCTTTTGGCCCTTCCCCCCTACTGGGGCTGTGGCTCCCTGCCGGACAACTGGCGGCCATCAAGTCCGCCAGGGAGCGAATCCGCGGGCGACCCCCCCCCAGCCCATCCCCCTCCCCTTCCTCAGGGGGTTGGCTGTGGTTGAGGTAGGCCAGGGTGTGGAAGACCACATCCGCGCGTTCGGCCTCGGTGAGAAAAGCCAACCCCGATCCCCACTCCCTCGCGGGACGGGGGCTGGATCGGGGAAATGGTCCCTTCCTGTACGGTGTCGGCTTTCCTCGCGATTTGAACCCCATCGCGTTGGGTTTTGCCGGGGTTGCGCCCCGTGAGGGGTTATTTTCGACGTCGGATGAGCGTTTAAGCACGGGTGCGTTATTTTGGGACTTGGAAACGCAAGAAATGAGTTCCTCGACGTAGATAATTCCGGCATTCTGCAACTTGGATTTTAGAGACGGGCGCAAAAAATCACACGTCTCAATTAACATTTCATGGCAGGGGAGGAAAGGGAAAAGTGAACCTCGTACTATCTAAAAAGAAAAAGAAGAGGTGTGTAAAAATGCTTCTAACTGATGTGCCTTTTGAAGTCGACACCCTATCTGGGTGCTTTGTTTCTTCTAAAGATATAAAAAGAACAGTCCAAGGAAAAATAAACTCAGCCTTAAACAATATGATAAGCGTCATAGAAAACACACAACTCAAGAGACATACCGTTTGAATAAATTGTGCTTCGGTGGATAATTTTTGGACATGTTTCAAAATCAAATGAAATATATATGAATCCACCGTTTTGTATTACCAAACCATTAAAAATTGAAGGCAGATGATACCAGTGACTTTGGTAGCGGCCAAGGTCCTTCTTTTGAGCGAAGACTGCTTATCTGAATCAGAGAGCAAATACGCATCTGATTGAAGAAGCGATCAGCCTTCTTCCAGTCATCTAATTTCTTAACCTTTAGTAATTCATTTTTTTCCGCCGTGCGTATTGTCTTTCTATCTTCTATAGCAATCGAAGAGGATACGAAACAATCGGTTAAAAATGTGAAATTTGAGCGAATATTATCATTCCCAGAAGAAGTGGAAATATCCGTGGAAATAATTGGGCGAAAGTACTTGCCAAGATCGCTTGCGATGCACTGACGACGTATTACATGCTCAGTAAGTGTGCGATAGAGAAGCTGGAGCCCGAAGCAGGCACAAGATGAAATCGGAAAAGTAAAACAAGGAGTCGCATCTTCAGATGCACTAGAATTCATATTTAAAGAATCCGATTTAGTAGAAATACTTGGCAGCATGTCGCGTGATAATGCTACGCTGCGTAGTAGTAAGCGGTTTAGAGCAACGTAATCCTCGGCTGCAGCTAACTCCGCAGCTAACGCAGCCCGCCGCGCAAAGAGACGAACTTCTTCTTCGTTTGCTTGTTTATTTCCTTTTATGACTTCTTCTTCTCGTGAAAACTCCTTTAGTGTGATGTCAACCTCTGAGGCCTCCTTTTTCGAATTGAAGTTAATTATCTGTTTAACTGAGTTCTCCATATTTTCGAGCTCGCCGAAAGCGGTTGGGTTGACGTCGGTTTCTGCAAGGATGACCTCCCACCAGCGGCGAATCGCATCGGCCGCTGTCGCCGCATCGTCCACAAGAACAGCATAAAGCAGCACAGCAGCATGGATGAACAAACCATCCCAGTCCCCTTCTTCTTCCTTTGCGTTTTTTTCTTCTGTCCTTGTAGCCTTTTCCTTTCCCGCTTCCTCGGCGCCGTGGAGGAAATCCCCCAATTCCGTTCCTTGTTCTCTGCCGTACCGCTGCCTAACGTAGGCGCGAAATCGATTATCCGTTAAGGCGCCGTACCCATTATAAGAGGTGGACGACATCACCAAAGTCCGGGCTTTTCGTCCTTCCCCATCGTCATCTGGCCAAGGCGCGGTCTGGGGTGGACGTGGCGACGCAAAATACAGCCCTGTGGCGAAAGAAAGGCTCCCGGAGAGGAGCTCGATATCCACGAGAAGGATGGCGATGAGGATGGCCCAGAGCCAAACCCGCCGGGCCAGGTCCAGGGCCTCCAGATAAGGTTTTGTGACACAATTCACCACGCAATTATCCCATCCGGCAGAAGAAGAAGAGAGGGCGGTGAATACTTCCACCTTTTCTGAATTGGTGTTTTTCTTGTGGGAAGTGCGCGGATTGTGGGGTAGGTGGTCCACACCTGCAGGTGTGTTCTGCAACAGAGTTCCAAGGTGCTGGAGAAGCTCTTGTTTAATGGCTTTGATTTGACTGGATAAACGCTCCAGTAAATCACGTCCTTTTCGCCTCAGGGCTTCGTTCGCCCCATCAAGCGATGCGGAAGTCGATGATTGCAAAAAAGATTGCCATTCTGATTTCAGATCTTTAAAGGAAAGATCAAGCACATGGACTGATCGAATATCCTTCGGCATCGTCCGCGTGTACGGACGTCGTAATACGACTACATCTACTGAAGGAGTGCTGCTCATTTATAAATAAGTCTATTACTTTATTTACTTCGAAATATTGAAATCAGAAAAAGTCATATCTTGAGATCAAAGAAACTCATATGCCTCCCTACTTTCAACACTTAATGGAGGTCATATCCTAATAAGAAGTAAGAAAAAGAGCAAATCACAAGCAAATAATGATCTATTTTTTCCCTCCACCTTACTTTATTATTATTCTTATTATTAATATTATTATTGAGGGGCATATGTGCATAGTGGAGTGGAAAGTAATATTAAAATCAATAATGGTCTAAATTCTTCGCTCTTCTGATGCAATAAGCATTATTCTACATGTCGATAAATTCACAGATCTGAATGTCAGGTAAATATTAAGAATGATTGATACTCAGACTAGTTTTGCATACGAATGCACTAGATCAGCTCTACCAAAATTACATAATAATAGAAAAAAAAATCAATAACGGAAAAAATAATCTGATAAATATAGTATCAGATACATGAAACTTATACACATCTTTGAGTTTTAAAAAGATTCATTAAAGCAAGGCAAAACTCATCAAAATACAGACGTCCATTTTCGCGGAAGTCATAGCGTGATATAGCATCTTCAGCACGTTCTTGCATCACCTTCTCGCGCAATTCTTTCTGAAGAATATCGTGCTTATTAACCATTTTTCTTAATGCGCTATCAACAGGTAAGGAATTTACCGCATCCGCAGCGGGAATACCATACTTTTTATCTGCAGCAGTTTTCGAAGGTACTGTGGACGGGACCTTATTTTCAAATGTTTCCACTGAGAGCAGCAGCGCCGTGAGCTCTGAAGCAGTTAAGTATTTATCATCCTCCATTAGAATCTTCCGGCCTTGATTGAGTGAAGAGACGTGCACGAGAGAATCAAAAATTTCCTGTGCAATTTGCTCATCCATCTCGCCGTTGCGATCAAAAAGTTCCGAGATCAAATTCGGTGTGCAGCCCGTCCTCCAGCTCGGATCATTCGTCTTCAGCTGCCCGACTTTCTTCAGAAGATTCTCGGAGTGATTGGCTAAGAGAATATCGGAGGAGTAAATATACCGTGATTTGGGGAAATAGACCCTTTTCTTCACAGGAGTCACCTTCACGTCCTTTTCAGAAGAAAGCTTTCTCTGCTGACGCGGTGTCGTGGAGGAAGAGGAGGAGGTTATAATGGTGTCAGGACCCTCTACATCTTCCTTTTCTTTTTGCTGTAAAAGCACCTCCTGAAGCGCGTCCTGCTGCTCCACCATCTGTTTTGCGATCTCAGCGGAGATCCTTTGTGAGCTCTCGGCGTCTTTTTTAACCCCCTCCATGATCATCCGTTGCTGTTTGAGCTCGTGTAGGGCCTGGGCCCAACTCGTCAATGCCGGCTCGGTTGCCTCCACGACGGTAACACGACTTAATGTCGCCGATGACGTCGCCGCCCACTTGCAATAAGCAGATTCAAACTCATTATACTCTTTCTGGTACTGCGAGTCCACCCCGTTGGTGTTTAACGTAGCGAATAATTCATCCGTGATCGTTTGATCAAGCGCCGTCAGCACGCGATTGAGAAAGGTATCCCAGACGTAATGAATATGTCTTGCAGCGATCCCGCGCTCCTCGTCGGCAGATAAGTTCACTGGATCGTGCATCGACAACCCCGCTGTGTCGACCTCCCCCCTGCAGAAGGCCCTCCAGTGGTCAATCACATTCTCCGCCTTCGCCTCACGGAGGTGGGAGTAGTTATGGATGGAGACCAGGCACTGGTTCGGGTTCCGCGTCGAGCCGACGACGGTGTAGACCGTCCGCGAGGACTGCAGGTACTGCATCCCGAGCAGCCCGAACGGGCAGCGGTTGGCCTCTGCCGGGGTAACCGGCACGTAGTCCAAGACCACCTCGACGTGAAAGGCGTCGTGCTGCACCGACACGAGCCGCTCGCGCAGTAGCAGATCCGTGTCAGGGGGGGTGGCGTAGGAGGGAGGGGGGGG